TCCTGGTATGGACTGAGCCACGTGCACACACACAAACACAGGACGGTAAAATTCTTGTTACCGTACTGCAGTTCAGTTCGTGTTGCAATTTTCATACAATTCTAAAAGTCCACTTTTATCTGAGTAGGCGTTATAAAACAAGGAATTATATTTGCTATTGACACATATTGACACAAGCGTAGGTACTTGGTAATTTTGTAATACTCGTTGGCAAAATGGCGAGTGGGCTCTAACGAGACCTCTGTACTGCGCAGTTTATTTCAGGATTAAGCCATCCCTCTCTGTAATTTTGCCCCTTTTTCAGACAACAAATAAAACCCTCCCCCCTCCCCCAACATATAAAACTTGACTATGTTCCCTATAGATCGGATTTACTAAAAATTAATCACAGATTAATTCACTCTGCATGGGATGGCGTTCGATTGCTAGCCTAACCTTTTTAGATTAGTTGCCCACCCCTCCGCTTTTTGTAAGCTAATTGACGATTGGCTGGCGTATGTCATCCATTTATTTGTCCCCTGTGGAGCCTAATCTCCATGTCGTACCCCTCCAGATGCTGCTGTAATGTAGTGATTAAATTCGGACGATATTTTGATCCGTATTTATTTATTTTTGTGAATGCAGTAAAGTTGCTGAATTACACTCTTACACATCTCTGTAAGTCTGCAGTATGTTGGTGCTACAGCAGGACTTGAATTGAAAACACATATTTGTTTATTTCCTGTGATGTGAGTGTACTACACAAGATGTCTCTCGCGATTTTATTTATATGAGATTTTTGGTACATCGCTCAAGGAGCTGAGCCCTTCTTGAGAAGCCGCCAATTGTTCAGTTTCTCAAGAATTTCCCAGAATTGTATGTAACTCGGAGGTTCATTACCGTGTTCACAAGAGCCCTACACTGATCCCTATCTTGAGCCAGATCAGTCCAATCCATACCATCCCATCCTGTCTAAGATCAATTTTAACATTGACCACCCACCTACGTCTTGGTCTTCGTAATGGTCTCTTTCCATCTGCCTTTGCCACCAGTATCATATATGCATTCCGAATTCGTGCTACATGCCCTGCCCATCTCATCCTCTAGACTTAATCATTCTATTTTTGCAGTGTGCTGTATTCCACAAATCCACATTAAATATTATCAATACTCACAAAGTGGACACGATACACTGAAATAAATGCTGTTCCCCTCTTTCTGAAGTATTGCAGGCAAAGTTCATGCAACTTTGCAGTCCGTTGTTATACGTGGGTTCCTTCAAAAGTCATGGCAACATAATTTTTCCGAAATTTCGGAAGCTCCGACCGGAATTTCCAAATTTGCCGCTGAGAGACAGCAACGTCTGATTTCTAATGATGCAGAAGTCCAAGGACAACGAAGCGAGTCCAGCGCGAAGTCAGTATGATCATAACGTTGGCCGGCTGGAACAGCGTTGTTACGTGAAAATAGCAGTGCTTCGTGGCAGAAATGCGACTGAATATCACTCAGAGCTTGTGATCGTGCTCTACCATACAGAACTGTTGCAAGGTGGACAGAAGCATTCCAACGTGGAAGAGAAGCAAGTGCCGACTTGCAACGTAGTGGACGCCCTGTGTCCGTTCGTACCGATGTTTCTCGTGCCGCGATCGCCCAGTGCATGGAGGAAGATAGGCGCTGGTCTCTGAAGGAGTTACAGAGACATACAGAGATTGGCCAGGCAACTGTGCATCGAAAATCACAATTGAATTTTTCGAGGATAAAAGAATGAAAAAAAAAAACACTCATTCCGTAATGTACAGATTTCTTGCCTACTATACCTACGCCCCTTCACATCCACCTGATCTGACTAAGCCAATCAGAGGGCAATGTCATGCCCTTTCATAAGTATATTTTGAACTTTCTTCACTGTAACGTGTTTGCCCCCCCAAAAAATAGTTGTCATGCCTTTTGAAGTAACCCATGTAGTAACCAGAAATTGCGTACTGCCAGTGATGAAACTGACTCTTGCAAGACTTCCTTATCCAGGGAAGGGCCGTGCGTATATACGATATAATTAACTCTTAAAACTGCTTGCTGTATAGGACAGCGATAAAGTGGGCGGTGGGGGGCATTAAGATCCTTCTCTTGCTTCGGCCTGGATTTCCTCTCGTCACAGACGAGGACACGGGTGTTTCTTGAGCAACATAAAACCATTTTGAAAATTTTGTGTTAATGGACCGACTCCATGAAGCAGAACCCTACTTGAGAAGCTAATAGTTGTTCAGCTAGTCAAGTTAACTGCATATTATGAACCCCGAAGGCTCATAACCGCTTTCACAAAAGTCCGCTACTGGTCCTTATTCCTAGCCAGATAAATACAATCAACGCCCTCTCGTAAAATAAATTTTAATAATGTGTTATCTATACCTGGATCTTCTCAGTGTTTTTTTTCTTTCAGTTTTTTCTTCGGAAACTTTGTATGCCTTTGTCTTTTCTTGCATGCATGGATGGTAAACGAGAACATGAAATGATCTGTTATGTAGTTTGTTTCTACAGTTCGTAGCTGCTGTGGTAGATACGCTAACTTAGTGCCCTTGTTGAGAATTTCGCTGCCCCGGGGCTCACCTAGACACTTAAGGGAACCCAAAATAATTGCCAGCTGCATTAAAAACAAAATTTCGTTCCTAAGCGACCCGTCATGTTGATGGTTATTGCAGTTTGCCTGCCAATTCGCAGGTGTTCGCCTAGTCGCCACGGTGAAGCTTCTGGTTGCAATTTGGAACATTTTCTGAAGGATTTCCCCCTCTCACAGAGAGTCTCTATGGTATGCATTTAACTTCTTCAGCGCTAAAAACGAATTATCTCGTTTACACGTATTACCTTCTTGTGCTTTAAGTGCTGTGTTAGAGAGATAGCATGGATTGGATTGATCTGACTCAGGATAGGGACCATTGGAAGGCTTTTTTGAACACGGTAAGGAACCTTCGGGTTCCATAAAATGCTGAGAAATTCTTGAGTAGCTGCAGATTTGGCTTCTCAATAATGGCTCAACTCCATAAGTTTTTTTATTGCTAGTGGGGTGGGACTAAGTCCCTTGTACTGCGGCCACTTCTGGCATATTGTACCAGCCCCAGATGACAGGTGAGGGTGATTGTGGAGCAATTGCTGGAATGAAGATTGGCAGGGGAAACCGAATTATTCGGAGAAATCCTGCCCCAGCGCCACTTTACCCACCACGAATCCGACTTGACCAGACCCGTGATCGAACCCGGGCCGCCGCGGTGGGAAGCCAGCGACTAACCGCAGTAAGTATGCTTTAAGTGCTGTTAAATTTAACAGTAAAGTAAAAAAAAAGAAGTAAAATTATCCTTGTACTTAACTAATTAAGCACTATGTCATAAAGGCGTATAGGGGAGTGGATGTATAGACCCACGTTTTCTTGACCTTGGCACTAGTTGTAGGTGAGTGGTCAGCTTCACGCCCCGGCCGCTTTATTCCCGGCGAAGGAACCCGCGGTACTCATTGGATAGGAGGTTGAGTGCACCCCAGAGCCGGTCTGAACGACACAGAAAAATGAAAATGTTGTATTCCACCGAGACTCGAACTCCGACCCTTCGGTCGTCCAGCCATTCGAAATTACGAACAAATTCAGTAATCTGAACAAGCCCCGCCCATTTAAATGCATCCCTGCGTGAGCTTTGACCTCCTCATCACGCGAAAACTCTGAACATTATCGCGTTCTGGGACGTGACGCGGAGCAGATTGGTAGAAAATCATTTAAACTACACGGCGTCACATTGTTCGGCGCCCTGAACACAGAGTTTCTGTTAGGTAATCGTGTGTAGCTTTTGTTTTTCATGGCGTCAATAACGGAGGTAGTTGATACATGCGCTGCTAGTTGCTGACGCAACTGTAGAGCAGTCACTTCGATAATCCTCTGCGAGGGGATAGACTGGCTGACACAGACAAGAGCAGCCAATCAGCTTTGCGCAAATCGGCTTGCACCGAATACTTGACCTCCCGGTCACGTGGGCCAATTAATTTGTCGACAGTGCGAGTGTGGATGGGGTGGCGGGGTTGAGGGGGGATTATGCTCCCACACGTTTATCCTTGTTGATGTGCAGTCGGGAACGTCGTCCTCTTTGTTGCCGTAATGGAAAAACAGACACTCCGGCCTGTAGCCACTGTTTGTGCCCCATTTGACCACATAACCTAGGATTCATGAAATTATTTTTCCCCCTGGCAGCGACAGGACTAGACCAACTGTTAACAAAACTTCATGGAGCCGGACCCTTCTTGAGGAGCCATCAGTGACTCAGCCACCCAAGAAGTTTCCAGAATTTTATTGAACCCGAAGTCTCACAACCTTGTTTACAAGAGCCCGCCACTGGTGTCTGTCCTGAACTAGATGAATCCAATCTATACTACCCCATCCTATTTCTGTAATATACATTTTAATATTATCTTACCATCTATATCTAGGTTTTCCTATCTATATAACTTTCTATGACTTTACAGTCATTTTGTTGGACCTTGGCTGCCTTTTCAGTTTCTTAATCTCTAAAGAGTCAGTAGGACTCCTTGGACGGGGGCTCAGCCCGTATCAAGGCCTCTACCTACACGCAGAACAACACAAACAGAATCGCACACACAGACATCCATGCCTGGAGTGGGATTCGAACCTACGATCCCATTGTTCGAGCTAGTGAAGACTCTTTATGCCCTAGACCGCGTGGCCACCATGATCGGCTCTAGGCCTTCTTGTTCCCATCGAAATAGTGCATTGTGGCACACTTGCTCAAAGCAAGAACTGTGGAGCCAGAGAAATGGCCGTTGCTAGCAAACAGCTCTGAAACAACAGCCGTTTTCTTCGAATACTTCCGTTTCTCCTGCCAATTCTCAGTCCTTATCGCTGACGCTCCGACTGCGTACAAAGTGGACTCGGCGCACCCCACCCCACGAATTAGAATGGAGTAGTTACAGGTTGGGTGTGCCCGGGTCTCTCCGACTTGGACTGACAAATTATTTTTCCCTGTTTTCAGACTTGAATGCAGATTACCTGGATGTTCCTTTTGGACGTTCTGGTCCTGGAACTCCCGGACTTCCCGGATCAAACGGCCAGCAGCGCACCAAGCGCATGCGCACCTCGTTCAAGCACCATCAGCTGCGCACCATGAAGTCTTACTTCGCCATCAACCACAACCCGGACGCAAAGGACCTGAAACAACTGTCCCAGAAGACGGGGCTGCCCAAGCGGGTGCTGCAGGTTAGTGAGTTACATCGCAGATATGAAGCCAGGTGACGGTGGTGGCCACGCCCGTACATGGTTCATTTTCTGCCGGTGCAGTAAACACGGTTAACGCAGATAAAGTAAAAGGTAAAATTTCCCCTGTGATTAATTACGCATGGCGTCATGAAGATGTATGGGGGTTGCGGAGGTATAGTTTCACAATTAATGACCTGCGCACTGGATGTATGTGCTTTCACGCCTCCAGAGCCAGTCTGGACACCGTGGACAAAAGAGTCTCTTGCCTCAGCCGGAAATCGAACCCCGATTCATATGTCATCCTGCCTGTAGCCTCTCGCTCTACCGACTGGGCTGTCCCGGTCCCACTAAAGAGTCCAATTCGTCTAGCAAGGGAACCACTCAGCTTCCTCTAAAGAGAGGCAGGCCGCGCCATAGCTCAAGCGGTTAGTCGCCGGCTTCCCACCGCGGCTGCCCGGGTTCGATTCCGGGTCTGGTTAAGTGGGGTTTGTGGTGGACAAAGTGGCGCTGGGGCAGGTTTTCTCTGAGTACTTCGGTTTCCCCTGCCAATCTTCATTCCACAAAATTCTCCATCATCATAATCAGCCGGGGCAGGCTACAATAGGCCAATCAATGGCCGCCGTGCCGAGTGGACCCAGTTGGACTCCACCCCCCACTAAGCGAATTAAAAAAAATAATTAATTAAACAGAGGCAGTATAAGGACACGAACCAAATAGGTTCTAGATTTTAACAAAGATTTTTAAACCAAATTTGTAAATAGACTAATTATAATAATTTATAAATATTTTAACAAAGTCAGGCACATCGCTGTAATTATTAAAGATTAATATTTTATATTCATGACATTGTAATGATATTGTATGTATGTATTGATATTGATCAATACATTGTAATAGTACACAGAGATATTGGGTTTTCGGACTTATCCATCGTCCTGGTTTTTAAGATAACTAGTAAAATCACGACGTTTCGGAAACTGGATCTGTTTCCGTCCTCAGGTGAGGTAAAACACCTACTCTGTTGGATCCCTTAGAAAGAGCTAGCCTCAATCACTGGACCAGTGGACACTTGACACATCCAGTTTCCGAAACGTCGTGTTTTTCTTAGTTATCTTAAAACCAGGACGATGGATAAAGCCCGAAAACCCAATATCTCTGTGTGTTATACACCATCGTCAGAATCCTATAGTAACTAATTGTAATAGTAGTTTCCGCATGTATTGGTATGTGCTTCTGAAGACGGTCGCTCCGACCGAGACATGTCAAGGATGAAAGATTAAAAAGGAGAAAATCATTTATCAGTCACACTGAACGGAGCTGATAACATTTTATATTGTTGCTAGTGTGACGGACCGGTTCAACCAAATCAAATTTACTTGAAATCGGTTCATCGTTATACATTGTAAACCCTTACAGTTGCGTCATTATGATGGGGGCCGAAATATTAAAATCGGAATTTTTAGAATAACTTTTATTTAATTCCTGATATTGGGTTAAGTTGTTTCAACCAAACCTGTCAGCCTCACACATTACCTAAAAACTCTTTTGTGTGAGGATTCTGTGTTATTGTGACCACCTTAAACTCTTTTCAAATAAATATTTAACAAGAATTGTTTAACAGTTACCTGCATTTACAGATGTACCCCCCNGAAGTCGGGCGCTAGTGTTGGTGACGTCATGAGACTCAAATATAATGAGTACGACCTTAATAATGATGAGTCATAAAAAAGGTGAAGCCATCCCTGTAACAGGCCATGAAGGCGCATAGGATTGTGAGACGTTGAGGCTCCCACATTTTGTAGACAGTCGGCTCACAGATTGCGGTGAGGTTGTCAGCCTTACGCGCCGGCCGCGCTTTACCCACCAGGAATATTGTTGGTACTCATTTCTGTTAGAGGCTGAGTCGACCCCAGGGCCATAGTGCGGCTGAAAGGATTAGGCCAATTGAAAAATGAGGTGACTTCATCGAGAATCGTTTCCGGGACCTTCCGGCTTGTGGCGCAGCGAATGATGACTTATTATTGCTAGTATTGTTATTTGTGGGCTTTCAGTAAGTAGCCTGTAGGCTGTACGAAAACCATGAAGACGTAAATGTGTGTGTGTGTGTGTGTGTGTGTGGAGGTATAGCTCCATAAATTTTGACCTCGGTATTAGATGAAGGAGATCTGCCAGCTTCACGCCTCCAGCCGATTTACCCCTCGGGGAATGAGCCCCCTGTACCCACTGAAGATTAGGCTGCGTGGGCCCCAGAACCGGTCTGGGCGCTGTGGACAGGAGATAAATCTGTTGCCTCTGTCGGGAGTCGAACGAAACCGTATCCCGTCGCTGTACCGACTGAGTGCTCCGTGTACTTTGCCAAATTATTTCTTGCACGGAGCAGTAAGAAAGCAGATCGCTTCAGTTGTCTCTGTTCGGCGGGAGGATAGGCACGGAAACTCAAATGGCCCCGGAAGGAAGACTGCTCACAAAATGGCGTCCACACCACATCCCGTATCTGCGCAGGGCGATAAGACCGAATTCCGGCCTCAGCGGCCTCATAGTTTTAAGGGGGGAGGCGGGGGCACGAGATACAAGTGTGTGGGGGGGCCCATCAGGGTGACGCACAACTGTAAAGCGAGAAGAAACGTTTTGATTTGTCTACCCGCTTCGTGCCGCCGTTGAGATACAGCGCAGCGTCCTGCTCGTGTGTGCCCATAGATCCACGTCTCTTGCTTCTAAAGCTGTAGCCAGTTGCACCACGTGTTTCGGTCGCTGCATTACCTTCATCAGGTAGGCAACGGGTATAGAAAGCAGGGAGGAAGTGACAGGAGGTTGGAGAAAACTGCATAATGAGGAGCTTCATAATTTCCAAATACAATGATCAAGTCAAGGAAGGTGAAATGGGCAGGGCGTGTAGCACGAATGATGAAGAGGAATGCATATAGGATATTGGTGGGAAAGCCAGAAGGAAAGAGGTCACTGAGAAAACCTAGACGTAGATGCGAGGATAATATTAAGGTTTATAAATAGTGCAGTCGATATAGCGACTGGCTACGAGCTGGACAACCAAGGGATCGGAGTTCGAGTCCCGGTAGGGTCAAGAATTTTGTCTTATCAACTTAGTCCAGACCGTCTCTGAGTCTCACCCAGTCTGATATTCAGTGGATACCGGGGATGTTCTCCCGAGGGTAAAGCGGCCGGAACGTCAAGCTGACCAATAACCTCCAACTAGTGCCGGGGTCAAGAAAACGTGGATCTATACACCCACTCCCTCCGTACGTCTTCGTGGCGTAGTGCTTAATTATGTTTCTGTTTGTTCTTGGTGTATTTCTACAACGTTACACTTATTTCGACCAAATTTGGCATGATCGTAAGTCCCTCCCTTAGTAAACCGTAGGCACATACAATTAACGATACGTGCAGTGGGGGTCCAAGTGGGAAATCCGTCGGGCAGATTCAGTTGTAGTTCAGTATTCAGGGAAAAAAGAAGCGTTCTATACCGAATAATAATCGATTTCATTTCTGACGTGTCCGTCAGACGGATGTCGTTTTTGTTCGGTACTCGGCAACCAAAAATTATCTGTCAAGGAGTAACCGCGATGAAGCTGGAGCCTTGCCATTTCTGCACTGATTTTCTTCGTTTTGGCAAGAGATTATTATCATTCTCTTTTCTGTTGCTTGTGCTTTACGCCGTGGTGAAGCCAGGCAGAGCTTCTAGGCAGTTTATACAGAGGCTGTTATGCATAATAATTCGTGCTGTTGCCAGCCCGTTGAATCGAGCGTCAACTTCCCTCATAAGCTTAACTATGTCACTTATCGTATCGGGGCACTATGTTACAGGCCGGGAGGTCGTGAGTTCGATTCCCTATAAGGTCATTGGACTTTTCAAATGACCTAATCCTTCCAGCCGCACCATTTCCCTGGGATCGACTCAGCCTCTAACAGAAATGAGTACCAGGAACCTTCCTGGGGGTAAAGGGCGGCCGGCCGGCGTGTAAGGCTGACAACCTCGCTGCCATCTGTGAGCCGATTATCTAGAAAATGTGGGATCCTCGACGTCTCACTACCTTATGAGCCTCCACGGCCTGTTACAGGGATAGCTTTATCATATTAACGCCGTGAAGTCCCTTGGAAGTTAGGCGACGTTTCGGATGAACATATCGCATCCATCTTCAGTTTCGGAAAATAAACCAAGAAACAAACAAGCATGAAGCAGTAGTTATTCTTTTTGTAATTAACTATCACTGTATCAACTACAGAAGATGTTGGTCGCCGGATGTACGTATTAATAAAGGTGAAACGGAGTTGAGTGAACAGCGTCTCGTATCCAGAAAATGTCCCATCAAAGTGGCTGAAGCCGCCGGTTGTGAACCCGCGACCTGTCTGGCCGTGCTGACCTCAACAGGGCCCAAATCGGAACACGCCCAAGCAGTGTCAGTGTCAGGCTGGCTCGCCTCATCTCACTGTATCCTTAAATCATGGGGTTCGGTCAGGGCACGCGGCAACGTAAAGACGTGTGTTTACTGTTGTAATGTTATGACAGCCTCCTCTATCATGGCCTTCGCACGAGAAATCCCGTTCCGTTCTTTTATTATTTTCAGTATTTTCCTCTCTACGTCCCTATTTCTGGATATTCATTCGAACTATCTACTTCGTTTTTGAAGGGTGAATACAAGCACAAGAATATTAATTCAAGAAAAGTTTGGTCAACCGGACTGGCTTGTGAAAGGTAAAGTTGCCCCTGTACTTAACTATTTAAGCACTACGCCATGAGGCGTATGGGGGAGTGGATTAGCTGGAGGTGAGTGGTCAGCTACACGCCCCGGCCGCTTTACCCCGATGAAAGAGCCCCAGGTACCCATTGGATAGGAGGTTGGGTGGGCCCCAGAGCCGGTTTGGATGACGTGAAGAAGAGAAAATTTTTGGCCCTACCGGGACTCGAATTCCGACCCTTCGGTCATCCAGCCGGTAGCCAGTCGCTATACCGACTGCGCTACCCCGGCTCCCACCGGACTGACTTG